TTCCAGAAATATTGATGGCTGTTTGTTGCCTTAACCAAAAATTAAAAGGAATAGTGATTTCTGCCTGCGGACAATCTAAATGGATCTTGGGCTGCATCAAGGTGTGCTATGAAATTGCCAATATGGATTCACTAATCTCTGTTAGAGAACATTTAAAGAACATTTCACTGGAGCCCAGACAAATTCAGTCCAAGACAACCATCTGGAGCTCCATGCACTCCGTTACCAACACAGTGCTATCACTGATGCCCCAAGAGTGCCCCAAAAGAACATTTCACTGGAGCCCTTCATTTGACATGGCTGTCCTTCAGTAACTATGAGGTGCAATTCTACATGGAGTTGTTCACAGTCACCCTAGAGTGAGAATGTGTGTGGACAAGTACTCCAAGAAGAAAGGAGTGACTTGCCAGTTAATGGAGTGCTTTGAGTTGTGACCTTTATGTAGATTCCACATCCCATCCTTCTCCTCGTACTCAGAGGCTGACAGGAGGCAGAGAAGTAGGAAACATGCAACGCCCTTAAAGAGCCCATCTTAAAGAACTCCAGTCACCTGGAAAAAAACTTCTCCTGTCTCACTAGGAGGTTGGAGCTTGCCTCAGGTTAGCTGTACTGTCCAGTCAATCAACTCTTGAGTTTGTATCCACCAGTGGCAGCTCCCAAATTGTCCCTGGAGGATGTGATGAGTCATTTGGTAAATGAGCCATCCCTTTGGCAGCCAATCACTGACTTCTGCTGCTAGCAGGCCGGTGGCCCTGCCCCAAACACAGCCTTCAAAGCAGGAAGGCAGAGAGTTAAACTCTCTGTACAAGTCTCCTGGTGAACTTAACCTGCCCCGATTCTACCATTTTGCCGTGATTCTCATACCTGCTCTTGTGCTCTTGGTAGCTGTATCTGGCTTCTGACCTTTGACTTGCTCCTGACAACAACTTTCAGCTTCTGACCCCTGAGCTATTCTTGACTCTGGCTCCTGACCTTGGCCTGTCTCAGCATCTGACCCTGAGTTCCTAACCCTGGAAGGATCTGTGGAGCTCTTGACTCCTTGGCTCCCAATCCTAGTGTGATCTGTCTCTTCAAACTTTGGCTGCTTGATCCTGGCTTGCCTTGTGCTTGCAGCCCTGGTTCCCAGCTCACACTTCGTCTCCAGTGCCTGAACTGATTTTGGATCCTTGTGCTTTTGCTGTCTTTATGTACCACTACTCTGGCTTCCTGGGCTATTTGTGACCACAACTTCAGTATCCAAACTTAGGCTATCACACTGTCCTCCCTCCGGTCTTGGGACTTAACCAGTTTCTCAGACAGAACCAGTAAGCCTGATTGTCCATTCCCAGTCTGGACAGAGAAATTCTGGATGGAAGGCTTTTGCAAATTTAGATTTTTCTACAGCCATAGATGGCGGTAAAGAGCTCTTCCCTCAGCAGTTAAGAGCTTGTGCAGAGGAAGCAGCCCTGTGGCTGTTTTTTGTCCCTGTTCACCACAGATGAGAGCAGAGAGCTCCTGTCCTGCTAGCACTTCAGGTCACAGCACTTACATGTGTACTTCCACTGTGCTGTGTGTAACACTATTGATCCTGGGAGTGCTGGCAGCTGGTTACCAGAATTCAAACTACCACCTCAGAAAGATCACAGGATCCATGCAGCCACATGGATCAAAGGGTTTTAGAAATTCAGATTTCTTTACAATTTCCCCAGTACACTCCCTGCCAAATACCATGGGGAAGGGAAGGGAAGAATATGGCACCCTGATTTGCTCACAATAATGCCTCTCAAATCACATCCTCCCACAACTTTTAGCTCTGCAATTCCTGGTTTTCAGACCGTTTTTATTCCCAACTCTTGATTTCCAGATCCTAGAAGGGTGTAGAGAGCAGATGTGCTCCTCAGCAACTTCATCTCCCTTGTAATGAATATTTGGCTTCAGGATTCTAAACAACTCTCAGCACCTGGTTGCTATTCTGTTCCCCTGTTTAACTTTTATAATACTTTAATCATTTCCAGGTCAACGGTGCCTAGCAATCCAGAGTGGTTATTAAATGAGGGTGATAACCAGCAACACACTGGGTAAAGGAGAACATTTCCCAGATAAATCTAGCCAAAATATTCCTGGTGCCAGTTTGGCAGACTTAGGCACACAAGGAGAAACATGCTGTTTAGGACTGGTCTTAAAAGTTCCTATTTACAGGTACCTGATAACTTGCAGTATGTCTACCAAATGGAAAACACGAAATAATTCTGAACATGGAACTGCTGTAGGAGCAAACATTACCTTTAGAGAAAAAGGCTCTAATTTTTAAAAGTGGAAACAAAAGCAATAGGGGGAAGTAACTGGGAAAGAAGGGCGTATGCTGCCCTCATGAAATACCCTGTCATAAAAATAACTGGGCAAAACACTGTACACAGGCTTATCACGAACTATTTATAAGATAAGATCTCAATCAAATGGGAAGTAGTGCCAAGCAGACTTTCATGTGTCCTCTAGTTGCTCATGTGCTATTCCCAGAAGAATCACTATATTCATAATGCATAAACAGTGGGGATAAAATGAAACTAGGTTATTAATCATTCCACTATTTTCACATAAAATGTTTAAGAAAAAAAATCTGATAAATGCACTGTTGGAATAGAAATGCTTTATTAAAACAGGGATTGGCAATAGCAGACCAAAGGACTTCTGGTACAATTCCTTGTTCACTGACAAACATGCACAATGACAGCAACTGATAAAAGCTTGCATCTACCAATCAGAGAGACACTTATAAGACCTCCATTACCACAGACACTGAGCACCTCACAATCTTTATCATCATCATTATACAGATGAGGAACTGAGGCAAAAAAAGACTAATGGCCATATTTTTTAGGGGTTTCTGGTACCTAAAAAATGTAGGTAGGTTGCACGATTAGGTGCTTTTGTGAGTGTCACCTAAACTGTAATTTCAATGAGAGTTAGGCATTGTGTTTTCAAATTCCACATAGAAGGCTCTGTGCATCTTTAGCCACTGAAGAAGTACGCTTTGACAATGTGGCCTTAATGGACTTGCTCAACACCACCCAGGAAGGGAGCAGAAGCCTGAACCCAGGTCTCCAGAGTCTGAAACAACTGTCCTAATTACTGAGCCATACTTTCTGACTATGTACAATTTCTCAGTGGTGTCCCTGTTTATTTTGCAGTCAGCTATGTGGTATGAAAACATTATTATTAGACATATCTGCAAAGAAATATTTCCAAACTAGTACTGACAATTATTTCCACTGTACTTTCTCCCCATTTCGATGTTCAGAGAAAGCTATTAGGAACAAAGATGAAAGATAAAGTAATGTGTGCAATCAAACACTTTGTTTTCATTAAATACAATCCACCGGGAGATGTCCTGGGGGTAAAACAACTGGGTTTTCTAGACTTAAGCAGTGTAACCCTTGTACTCAAACATCAAAAGCACGCATTGTTTTTTTGAAGGGGGAGTGTAGTAGGCATTAAATGCAATATGTAGCCAAAGCTTTCTAACTTGCAACAAAAAGTAATTAGCAGAGATCGAATAACAGATATTGTACACTGGTGTAATCACAAAGATTTTATTAGTTTTAGGAAATTCTATACAAAAGACATGATATTTGCTACATCTGGAGTATGAGCATAAATACATCTGAGCTACAACGGGTCAAATAAAAACATACACATTACTGAGTTCCCCCAAGAGTGAGCTGGGCAGTGCTCAAAAGTGTTTTACAGGAATAGGCAGACAAGATTCCTTGGGTGAATTTGATATCTTTTATTAGACCAACCCAAATGGTTGAAGAATAGTTATTAAGCAAGCTTTCAGGTTCAAAAACCCTTCGTCAGGCTCAGGACACTTCAGCAGTTGGTGTGTGCTCTTCCTGGATGGAATGAAAAGTAAACAAGCCAGGGGCTGGGCTGGGGAGTCAGTTGCCAGGCAGATTATAATGTGTCAAAAAATCCAATGTCTATGTTTAGTCCCTGATCTCTAGTATCCAGCAGGTTGATGAAATGGAGCTCATAGGCTCGTCTCGGGGAAGTGTTGTGTAAGTTTCCCTTGAGGATCAGGACTGAGAGATTGGAGAGAGAGTGGCCCTCCTGTGAGAAATGTGCCCCCACCGGTAATTGGGTGTTTCTGTCTTTGATGGATTTCCGGTGTGCATTCATTCTGGTGCACAGTTGTTGTCTGGTCTCTCCTACATATCTTCCATCAGGGCATTTGGTGCATTGGATGAGGTATATTACATTTCTGGAGGTGCAGCTGTAAGATCCTGGCATGCTGATGGCTCTGTTGTAGTAATAGTGGGGGTGGTGGAGATGTGTTGGCAGGTTTTGCATTTCTTGTCCTGGCACGGTCTGGATCCTTTTGGTGTGTTCTGGGCGTGGGTGTTTTTCTTCTGTACTGCAGCAGTTCTTCAGGTGGTATCCAGGTGGCTCTTTCAAACGTGCGATCTACCTCTCTGGAGGAGTGTCCTTGCTGGGTGAAAGCCTTTTTAAGATTGGTGAGGTGGCGATCCCGGGTGTTCTCTTCGGTACAAATGCGGTGGTATCTGAGGGCTTGGCTGCATATCACAGCTTTTTTGGTGTGTTTAGGGTGATTGCTGGTTCTGTGCAGATATGTATGTTGGTCTGTGGGTTTCTTGTATACTGTGGTCTGTATTTTACCCTTCTGGATACTGATCATTGTGTCTAAAAAGGAGATGTTGGTGCTGCAGTATTCTAAAGAAAGTTGGATGGAGGGATGGTGACTGTTGAATTTCTGATGGAACTCAATCAGAGATTGCAGGTTCTCAGTCCAAATGATGAAGATGTCATCTATGTATCTTAAGTATAGCAAGGGTTTGATGGTGCAGTTCTTGAGGATGTCTTCTTCCAGGTGGCTCATAAGAAGGTTGGCATACTGTGGGGCCATTTTAGTGCCCATAGCTGTTCCCATCATTTGGAGGAAGTGTTGATTATTAAAAGTGAAATTGTTGTGTGTGAGAATGAAATGTATAAGGTCAGTAATATCTTTGGGTCTGTATTCTGGGTTGTAATCTTGTTCCTGTAGATATGTAAGGCAGGCTTGGATGCCATCCTGGTGTGGGATGTTGGTATATAGGCTGGTAACATCCATGGTGGCTAGGAGTGTAGGCACTAAATCTAAACAACACACATGTTGGGATGCAATGCCCTTGGATTTTCCATGCTTATCCATCAACTCAGTTATCAAATTTAGTAATTTAGTCTCCCAGTCACAATTAGTACAAATTAGCAGGACTCAATTGCATTTCAAATGTGCTATTTATTCATGCAGTCTGTTCAGCGATTATTCTAGCCTCTTTAGTCCTTAAAGTCTGTGTATACTAGTGTCACTGCTATGATTGTAGTAGAAAGTAGATGCACCAGAGGTAGTTTTAAAGAAGCTACCTGGTAGCTGCGTACCTGCAGCAGCATGGATGCGAGCACAGGCTATCTAGGTGTGTCCAGGTAAATGGGCAGGTTTAACAAGGCCATGCTGGGATCTGTGTTGCTATGCCATGACTCCTATTGATATCTGAGCTACTCAGTTTGAAGCTATCTTGGTTATGTCTACTAGACTGCAGATAGATACGAATGCAGCACAGATGTACCGTAAGAGGAAAGAACAGGCTAGAATAATAATTGAACATACTGCAATACATAGAGATACCCTTACAGGTTCCCACCTAAAGCATAAAACCCATACAATGCAATATAAAGAATGAATGGAAAAAATCTAGGTTCTTTCATAGTTACAGCTTTCACTGTAGACTCTGTCATTTTGAGGTTAATGTTTGATGAGGCGAACAGCCTTCGCACTATGTGAAATCTTCCTGTGTCACTGAAAGTGGCCATAGTAGGATCACTCAGTGGCAAAGTGCCATCAGCTGAAACGACATTAGGCTGCATTGATAGAGAGAGAGAAAGACAGAGATATGAAGGCTGCTTTCTGAGAAGTATAATTTCTGACATTGTGCTCTCTTGCAAAAACTGGAGAAGAGCTCCAATTCTGAGAAAAAAAATTCTCTCACCATCTCACAGCTAAAGTTACATTTAATGTAAAGTTCAACAAGTCTGATACATTCAGCCTTAACTGAGACTTAATACACTGCTGCACTTTCAGAAGGGTCTGCTAATTTGGGATTGTAACAGAGGGCCTGCTCAGGGCTGACTTCCCAGTGGCCCGCCCACCTGTTTCTGGGCTACCCACCCGCCTTCTCGCCCACCACGCCTTGTTGGTAATTAGTTAATGATGTAATTAAGCAGGAGGCTACCCATTTCCTGCCCCGATGCCAGGGAGTGCTATCTGCGGCTCCGTTCCTCCTCTACACCGCAATTCAAGCCTTGCATATGGCATCTAGGTGTTATCATAATCACTGGCCCCCCATGCTGGGCCCCAGAACCCTCCTAATTGAACCCCACCTGGATTCCTCCCCTCAGCCAGTCTCATCCGCCTTCATCCTGGGCAGCACAGCTCCCTCAACCGCTTCCCCTTCCGGGTGTGTCCCCCCCGGGACCTTTGGCTCCTCTAGCCCTGGCCCACCTCCAGGCCAGTCAGGACTGCAGGCCCACAGCTCTTGGGCGTTCCTCGCAGTGGGCCCCCTGGCCCTTCGACTCTTCCAGTCCTGGCCCCAGCATGGACCAGTCAGGGGAAGTCCAGACAGGCCTGAGTCTATGGCCTTTTCTCTCTCTCCGAGGGTCCACCCTCCAGACCCTCCAAACAAGGGCTAACCCACCCGGTCGTGGGGGCTAGGGGTTAAGGCGCCCCGACCTGCCTTTCACCGGGGTGGTAACTGGCCTGGCATTTCCTGGGGGCTACTGTGCCACTGGGAGCCCCACCAGGCTGCCCACTCCCGGCAGGGTGCAGTTTTAGGTCTCGCCCAGGAGCAGGAGCCTCCTGACCATCCCCTACAGCTCCTCCCTGACCTCCAGATGACACCAGCAGCCCTCTGGCCAGGCGGTGTTATTGCCTGGCCTCCAGCAGCAGAACTGCCCTGTGCAAATGGGCAGCCCCAGATTCAAAACGGCTGCCCTTATCAGGCACCTGGCAGCTGCCAGCTCCAGGCCCTAAAAGTGGCAGGCACAACCAGTGCCCTGCCACAGGGATACTTCCATTTTGGGGTATAATTTGAGGAAACCTGGACCCGGCTTTCAAACGATCTCAGTGCCCTGTAATGCTGAGGCCTTGAATGGGAGTTTTTGGTAGATGAGAAATCTAACTGAGACATACTGACCAGGTCATCAATAACTGAGGCACACATTTTGTGCCAAAATTCATGCGAAAATCAAAGTAGGTGCTTGGTTTTAAAAGAAAGCCATGTTTCAACTACAATCCTTAAAAGATGAGTGAAGACTCTTGCTCAGGTTTTGATTGTGGGGCTACCTATCTTCCAATGCATTTTTCAGCCCCTTGTAACCTGATGTCACTGGTTTGAAAGAAAGGATGAAATCCCATATAGTCTTTTCTAGGTCCTATAAATATGAGCCCCTGAGTCGGCACTTGTAATTACTTCATTTGGCCAGAGGATTTCTAAAAGTATTTGCTGCAGGCTTCCCTATACGCATAGGTAAGTAGTGAGACACCAGTGCACTGCCTATAGTGTTATAGCCTACCTCACATACTAGGCATCTGCTCTAACTCTGCATACTCCTAATCCGTTCCCTGTACCTGTTTACAGTCTTAGCTATCATTCTGCTACCAAATGACCAGCTCAGCTTCTCTCTCTCCATGTAATATTTTACCTGGATCCTTGTTCTCCACATACAGATGGCTACTTCATCAGTGTCTGTTTCTTCTCTCTAACTAACGTTTTGTCACTGAATTCAGCAGATTCTAGAACAAATGATATTTTCCCCTCAAAAACCCTTGCTTACAACATTTTAGTATACAGGCTCTGATCCTCTGATCTTCAGAATCACCACTGCCAATGTAACAGGGGTGTAGGTAGTAGCTGTGTTGGTCTAAGGGTATAGGCAGACAATTCTTTGGGTGAATCTGATACCTTTTATTAGATCTACTTGAATAGTTGGAAAACAATTTCTTAGCAAGCTTTCAGATTTAAAAACCCTTTGTCAGGCTGAGGAAGCATATGCAGTTGGTGTGTGCTCGTCCTGGACAGAATGAATAGTAAAGAAGCCAGGGGCTGGTATGCATGCAAGAAAGGCAGTCAGTGAAGATGTAGATTGAGGAGTCAGTGGGTGAGAGACCGGGGGGTGGGAGAGAAGGGGGATGAATATAGCAGGTAAACAGTGGAGACATACCTGGGGAGTCATATGTTAGGCAGGTTATAATGTGTCATAAATCCAATGTCTATATTTAGTCCATAGGCAGACAAGGTTCTTTGGGTGAATCTGATATCTTTTATTAGATCAACCCAAATAGTTGGAAAACAATTAAGCAAGCTTTCAAGTTCAAAAACCCTTCGTCAGGCTAAGGAAGTTTCAGCAGTTGGTGTGTGTTGTCTTCCTGGATGGAATGAAAAGTAAAGAAGCCAGGGGCTGGGCTGGTATGCATACAAGATAGGCAGTCAGTGAAGATTAGACTGAGGAGTCAACGGGTGAGAGAGAGGCTGGGTGAGGGGGGAGAGAAGGGGGATGAAAAGTGGAGAAGTACCTGGAGAGTCAGATGTCAGGCAGGTTATAATGTGTCATAAATCCAATGTCTATATTTAGTCCATGATTTTTAGTATCCAAGAGGTTGATGAAGTGGAGTTCGTAGGCTCATCTCTGGGAAGTGTTTTGTAAGTTTCCTTTGAGGATCAGGACTGAGAGGTTGGAGAGAGAGTGGTTTTCTACATTAGTCCATGATTTTTTGTATCCTGGGGGTTGATGAAGCAGAGTTCATAGGCTCATCTGTGAAAAGTGTTTTGTAAATTCCCTTTGAGGATTAGAGCTGAGAGATTGGAGAGAGTGGTTTTGTTGTGAAAAATGTGCCCCAACAGGTAATTGGGTATTCTTGTCTTTAATAGATTTCTGGTGTGCATTCAGTCTGGTGCGCAGTTGTTGTTTGGTCTTTACTATTCATTACTGTCTTTACTATTCATTCCATTCAGGAAGAGCACACACCAACTGCAGATGCTTCCTCAGCCTGACAAAGGGTTTTTAAACCCGAAAGTTCGCTAAGAAAAAGATTTCCAACTATTCAAGTTGGTCTAATAAAATATATCAGATTCACCCAAATAACCTTGTCTGCTCATGTAATGCTCTTACCACAGGGAAATTTCTATCTGTCGGGGGAGAGGTACCCACTGAAGGTTCTCCTAGTAATCCAATCAGACTTTTAATAAAATAAAAACACAGCTTTTGCCACTCAAACCACAGTTGCCATTCTCTCTTGCTCATGTTTAATGACATACATGTGTTGAATGCAATAACCCCATCTTCAGATTAATTTAACATTTATTTGTCATTTTAACAGACTTTTTTTACATTCTGACTAGGCTACTCTCTACTAGAGCCAGAAGAGATTCTGACATCTCTTGTGGGCAAGAGCTACGGTTAGCCAGAGCTTACAGAATCACGATAATCTGCAGTGCTGGACTTTGAATAGTACATTCAATTTTTGATTACTTACCAAACAACACAAGGCAGGGACCACCTGCAGATCACAGCAAGCACCCAGGAGGGCAAGGGTGTCATCAGGCAGCTCTGTGAAGGAGTTTTAAAAGGAGAAAAAGTCAGTCTCCAATGAGCTCTGCAGCAGGTTGGCTGTAGAAAAGGAGATGGTGTATATGCATACAAGCGACCTAAGCCTGCAAATGCCCTTATGCAATTCTTACGCTGGGCAGGGAATGGCCCCTGCCTCCTGAAGGGCTTTTCAAGTGCAGTGCTGCATGATTGCAACTTTGGAGAGCACTGCAGTCCTCCACAATTATCACTGTCCTGTATTAAGCAGTGTCAGGGGGCTGTGTGCCCAGATGCCAGGCCCTTCTTTGCAGGTACACAGGTGGCTCTGAGGGTAGAACCAGTACATGGAAAAAAATGGGCGCAAAAATCTCACATAGACTACCTCAGCTCTTGGGAGAAACACCTGGAAGGGAGCAAGTAACATTCATTCCACCTTGTCACAGGCAACCACTAGGCATCTCTCCAGTGCCTGGCTCGGGTATTAGCTCAGGGTGTGCATCTAAGGACAGGGTCTGTTCTATGCAATACCACCGCAATCCCCAGAAAAGTAACAGCTACAAAGTGGCCTTTTTTTGGTTACTGCTACAGCTCCAGTTACATGTGGATGTTAAAACTAAACGTTACGGCCAAAGCAAACTGATCAGTATAACACACTTGTTTAACTGTGCATCACTGCTTGTAGCACTTGACAAGTGCTGTTACACTAGTGACTCTGTTATGTTTGCTTTATTTTGCATCTCTGCAACTGGGTCTACTGTCAGAATGTCCCCCTTACCTTTCATATACTGGTTGATCAGCTTTAAATGCAAGAAAATTGACATTCTGTTCTACAGTAGAGGTGCACCAATACATCAATCTGATATCAGATCAGCACTGATTTAAGAAACCTGAGTGCATCGGAAATTGGCCTGATATGGCTGATAAATGCCCGTGCACACGTGCAGCCACAGCACAGCATGTAGGTGATGAGGAGCACAGCTCAGCAGTGTGGAGAGCTGCATGCAGCTGGTAAGTCTGGTGTGGCAGAAGGGGAGCAGGGAGGGAAGGGGTGTGGGGGTGCAGATCAAGGCCCGTGTGGTGAAGGAGGGAGGGGGGGCTGAGGCAGGTGCTGCGCAGCTGGGGTGAGGCAGGGTGGGGTGTGGGACAGAGCCATGGTTCATCTGGGAGATGTGGGTGCTCAGCTCCTGCTGCTGCATGCACCCTGGGAGGGCATGGGGGGGTGTCGTGTGCCCCATGATCTGCGTGGGGTGGGGTGGGCTGCAGCTGCAGGCTTGGGCCAGAGCAATGCTGGGCTCTTCCCGGTGCCTGGGCTGGGGTGGGCATGGCAGTGCTAGGAGGAGGGGCTATGGCGGGGACTAAGGCAAATTTTGGGGTGGCTGCAGCCCCCCATAGCTTCCTCCCAGCACCACCACTACCCACCCCAAGCGCAGCCTGGATCAGCCCCCCACCATGTGCCAGGAAGAGCCTGGCACAGCCCCAGCCTCAACCCGCAGCTCGAGCCCACCCCGCTCACAACCCACACAGATCTGGAGACATGCCCCCATGCTCTCCTGGGGTGTGCATTGCAGCAGGACCCGACCCTGCCCTTTGCCCCTGATGAGCCGTGGCTCCATCCCACACCCTGCCCAGGCAGCACCTGCCCCAACACCAGTCCCACTCCCTCCCTCACTGCAGGGGGCCTTGATCTCCCCTTACACCACAACAGACTTACCAGGTGCATGCAGATCTTCAAGCTGCCAGGCTGGTATCAGAAACTGGATCAGTATTGGCCGATACGCCTCCTTAAAAATCGGCTATTGGAATCGGCCCCCAAAATCTCTTTTGGTGCACCCTATTCTACAGTGCAAAATATTTACCTATTTACCTAGTGTAACACTGCGCTTCCTTTCAATACTTCCCTTAATGTAATGAAGCATTTTTTTTTTTTTTTTACAAGAGAGATGGAGGGGAAAAAAGACTGACTTGTATTTGCAGGTGGTTTTTAATTAATGTTGTGGTGCCAAGTACATTGTGAAGATGGCACTTGTTTGACATTTGGATTTAATTTCCTTTTTCTGTGGTTGCACAACCATCCCTCTAATTGCAATGTCTATGTGTTAAATTTACTTTTTGCTAAATATAGTTTGTATTCAACAACATAAGCCATAGATTTAGCACATGAGGATAACAGCACCTACTGTGCAATCTTTAGCCAGGACAAGACGTGAAAAGTCCAAGGAACAATGAGAACAATAATTAGTTAACAAAACTGAATGAAAAAGTTTGGGTTCAATGGTCCTTTGGGTGAAATGATTTCCATGGGAACGAGAGATTTTACTTGTAAAAATATGCAGAGATTGAGGTTTTAATTTAATATTTAGCCAAAATTACAAACCCCTACATTCAATCACATCTCTATGACAGTGAAAGAGAGAATTACATGACCTCTCACAACTGTTATAATTACCTAAAAGGAAAACATATAAACTCTACACCAGGGAAACTTCTAAATGGAAAAGTTGCTAATTGCTCCATTTGTGACATACCTGCTACAGCACTGATCAAGAGGTGAGCAGCTGAGAAGAGTCTTTGCTCTTCCTGTAACAACAGCCCATTCTGTAAACTATACCCTACCAGCTGCAGAAAGTCTGCTACATCTTGCTGCTGTGCAGGTTTTAGCTCCTTCAGTTCCATCAACTTTGGTTTGTCTCCCATACGAATATTATTTACCTGGAAGCAGAGGAACAAATTAAAAAACTAATTTATAAAAAAACAAAGTTTGAGTAATGGACAGTATCAGCTCTATTAAAAATAATTTTTAAAAAGTCTTGACATCTTACCATATCCTCCAGTACAGTCACCAGTTCATCATGATATAAGATTTCATAGAGGGTTTTATATAAAGCCCCTTGCTTGTCATCTGATAACTTCACAAAAGGCTGGAATTGGGTTTTTAACACCGATATGCCTGTCCAATAAATAAGTATATTGTTAAACTCATGACTCCTTCAAATGCCAGTAAAAGCAAATAAACTGAGAGACTTGAATACCTGTTTAATCACCACAACTTAATACTGTAATTTCTGTCTGTATAATTTCTAATGAAATACTGGGACATATTTGACTCCAAATGTGCTTTATAGTGATCATTCCCAGTTAATTGTCAATGCAAATAAACACCGATATCAGGAATTAACATTCAGTATTATTATTTAATTGTTTCTTATATGAAACCTGTTCATAAATCTGCAAAGAATGTTTCTTTTTAAGGCACAATGTATATTTCTACTACCTAATCTTACATCTCAGGACAGTGGATTTTATTTCTTAACTGGTTCATATTAAGATCTAACTTTATGACTTACCAAGCCTAGTGGTATTAATTCATATTCAGAATTAAAAATTCAGATGGTGATGCTAAGTTCTTATTGTCCTCGTATATTGACAGACTTAAAAGACTTTATATTAAATATTCATGTATACCCTTTTCTTCTTTGACCAAAAAAGGCATCTTTTTATAAAATGCAAGAGGATCCATTTATTCTTATTTAAAATATTTAATCTATTACAATGCATAGATTAGAAACTCCACAGAGACCTCACTGGACTCCATCCTTCACAATGTAACTGAAGCATGAAGCCAGGATGTTTTATGACTACTAATTATCAATAAGCCAACACTTACTTCACCCATCAGCAGAATTTTAGGGGTTGGAGATGCTTCATGTTATTTTTAAAATAAATTCCCTTCACACAAGAAATACAGCCCCTTAAAATAGGTTTCATATAAAAATAATAAAGCTATTGAAATTACAGTAGTGCCTCTACATACAATACAACCATATAATTACAAAATCAAATATTGTCACAATGCTGTAGGGGTAACTAACAGTAAATCATTTCAATATACCAGTTTTTAAAACCATTTTGTGAAGAGAGTAAGTCAATCAAATGAAGTAGAACGACAAATCTGTAAGAATAGACACAGTGGGGTTTTAAGCTAAAAAAAATAACAGTGACATATAGCCATCCTTCACACACAAAGTGTTATTTGGCCATACAAAGAGATGCATTTATTTCCCTCACTCAAGTCTAAAACTAGAGAAGTATATGTTTTATTCCAGTCAACAAAATGGCTATTTTGGTCACAGTTAGTCTATTGACTAATCTGTGAATGCAGGGCCACATTCATAGGTGGCATAAAAAGCATCACATTGTAGAAATGGACGCAAGGACAGATCTGCAGTAAGTATCAACAGGAAATACAATATAAAGATTGGAGGCCTGCTTTATATTACCCCATCTTCCTCCTCACTTTTGGTTGCTTTCCTTGCTACAATCCTACCCCTTTTACCACCTCAGTCAGTAAGTTATGCCTAGCCACTTACACTACTTACCAGCATGTAATTTGTACTTCCATTTAAATCACAATGGAATTTAACCCTACTGTTTACCTCCAATTTCTTCCAAGTTTCTCAAAACACAATGAGATTCACAGAGAAGAAAAAGGGGGCTGTGTTTTCAGAAATATAAGCTTTATTGAGAATGTTTATACCCAATATACATTTCTCACATTATTACTAAACAAGTAAAGACATAAATCACTATGAATCTCATGCAGTGTAGCTAGAATATAACAACACTGATGCAAAAGAAAAAATATATAAGATTTTGTTTACAAAAAAGGCATTCCATATGCTTTGAGGGTACAGCCAGCTCTCCACATATGTTCATTTCAGTGCTAAATGTCTTTTGATTGTTTCTAAGTGTTCACCAAGGAATTCCTGATAGCGGCTATTCAAATGTGCCAGCAATTTCTATGTAATATTTTGCAAGAATATCTCCTTCTATTAAATTGCTTAACTAGTAATATAAGGGAGAAATGTAGTGTAGTGCAATCAAATAAAGTATTTCTGGTAATACCTTGTTTCAGTACACTTAAGGAAGCGTCACTTGGAATAGTATTTTCATCCCCAGAATGTCTTGCACTATCAACAGCATCTGGCTGATAGAAAAAGGAGGTGTCTCTGAATAGTACTGAATGGGGGTAAGAAGAGCCTGCTATGTTTTCTCTTTCAAAACCTCCTTGTTGTCCATTTAGCAGGCAGAATTCTGTAATTTGAAACACATAAAAATAAACAAACCACATGAGGGTACCAAAGCAAATATCAAGCATCATTTCTGATGTAAACTAGTTTTCCTGGACATATACACATATGCATCTCATCTTTTATAGATAGAAAGAAAAAGATTAACCGGCACTGTCTACATGAATGAAGTACACATTGTAAGTCACTAAAAAGCACAGTGCAAAGATATACATCCTGAGGCATAAATGGAAGTGGCAGTTACCAAGTAGATACAGTAGTTTGACACAAGTTTTTCTGGATTGATTAAACAGATTCAGTATATGTCCAGAAAGGAAGAGGCCTGATGGAAAAGCAAAGCTCTTCATGGATGCTGAAAACCTGCATTCCATATATCAGATGTGTCAAATTCATCTAGCTCCATGCACCAGATGACTGGTGTGGGAATGACCCATGGCCCTGGTGAATGGCGTGTGGCCAGCCGCACAGAGTCAGACTCTCCTACATGTGAGAGTGCTACAAGTCAGAAAAACCCTACAGACTCTAAGAGGATCCCTCATAGATCTTTTCACTGGTCTTTTATCACTGGCCCCTTAGCTCTTAGAAAGGAAAAGAGGCCACTGGTTCCTCCCTGGGCCCTGTCAAAGGCAAGGCCATCCCAGGTCAGTGGTGGTGTAGCTCCCATGCTGCATTACAGACTTAGGAGAGATGCTTCCTGTTCCACCCTTCAAAGTAGTCCCCCATCCTCTGTGGAGGCTGCCTTATTTTTCCTAGCTAGTTGTTATGAGTTCATGAAGGAATAATATGCATCCTTTTATTTCACTCATTTTGGGGTCCCCCCTCCCTCACACAGATCCCTACTCCACAGAGAACCCTATATGGGGTCCTCTAGAGTAGAGGTTCTCAATCCCCAGGCCATGGCCCAGTGCCAGGCCGCAGCAGGTCAGCTGCTGGACCAGAAGTGGCCACGGACTGGCAAACCACAGCCCCCCAGAGCTAGGCAGAGAGGCCACGGCTCCTTCTGCAGGGCCCGCAGCAGCACAGGCAGAAATTCCGGCCATGGTCAGCTGTGACTGCTGGGCCGCGGTTTGCCGCAGCATAAAAACTTTGGGAACCCCTGCTCTAGAGGAAGAACAAATAGTACCCCAAAGAGGGCTGAGAAGAGATTCATATGTAGCGGATAATTCCTTCTCCCTCCAGGTCACAAGGTACAATCTGGCTCATCACATGAAAGGATCCTGTTATCCAACCACCTCTAGTTTCAAAGTCCTTTACAGACAATATCCCACACCTGAACCAGACAAGCAACTTCCAGTCCTGTGCTCTGAGCACCAAACCATGCCCAAGAGGGTAAGGTACATACAATTCCAGACAACCATATTTATTGGCAGAAGGCAGGCTAGATTTGCACCTCATGGACTAACTAAATCAGAGCTTTATAGCATGAGCTTTTGGGAGCTCAAGCTCACTTCATCTGATTTAGTGAGCTCAGGCTCATGAAAGCTCACATTATACATCTCTGACTTAGTCTATAAGGTACAGATCTACTTTGCCTTCTATCTGACTTTAGACTAACACAGCTAACTACCTCTCTATATTTATTGGGACAGACCAAAGATTTTGAACCAAATACTGACCCTTTCCCTTGCCACAGAATGGCATGAGAAAAACAGAGTAAAGGAAGAAAGTGAGTTTTAAAGTAATGCACGCCAATGAAAGAAGTAAGCTGCCCCCCAATCAAGGACAGTGCTCAAAAGCACTGCGTTCACAATCTAAATATAGCTTCCCCTCACTTATAACAGCCTGTCTTACTGAATTAAGGGCATTCAGATGAGATGGGAAAGCATCAACAGCAGTCCATCTTTTGAAAGGGAGAGATGGTGAAGACATCTCTGCTACAGAAAGAGAGAAAGGGAAAAACATTTTTTCCATTGCTAACACCTGCACAGCCCGTTACAGAGTAAAGCCAGTTACAAAGGGCTAGAAAAATAATACCACAAACTAAATTACTTCCTAGTGTAATGAGACCCAGCCAAGGCAGCAACCAACACATTTGAGACTCAGGTGTCTGTGCTCTTACAACAGTGTACTTGTGTTACTTCCATTACTGCTAACAAGAGCTATTCACAAACTCTGAAGGCAGAACATACTGCTAACAAACTAACTGCCCTTTATGGGAGAAGGAGGCTAATGAGAGGAACACATACACAGCATCATGCAAAAATAAACGAGACATCCACTTTTGTTAAACCCCATAATAGGACTAGATTCAAAAGAAAATACAAGGCTATGAAAGTCTGCATTACTCTTACCATTAATTATTTATATAGCTAGTTAGGTCTGTGTAACCCTTTATAGGAAAAAAAAAAAAAGAACCAAACACTCAATATCATAGTGCTATTATATACATACTAGCTAGCTGCTCATCAAGAATAATGGATTTTAGGGAGTGTTTAGATGGAACCCCCTCCCCACCCCCGCTCACCATTTGGGGCTGGCCATGTAAAGACTCTGTCCACCACCTTCTCCTCCAACCTCCGGTGCTGGGGCTCCCTACCCCTGCCCACCTGCCTCACAGCAGGGCTTCCTCCCACCTCCCATCCCCTTCCCGCTCCCCTCCCTCCCTCCCCGCTGCCTCCCCCTCTCTGCTGGCTGTTGCCAGGGCTGGGCAGCAGGGGGGTACCACCACCGTGACCCCCGTCTACAGGCCCGTGCAGCCTCCCTCCCACCCGTCACTTCCTCCTCCCTGCCAGCTGTTGTTGGGGCCCCCTTCCTGCTCCCCTCCCTCCCTGCCACCCGGCCCCAACAACAGCCACCACCGTGACCCCCTACCTTTGCCTCCTCCAACCCACTTCTCTCCCTCCCTCCCTCCCTGCCAGCTGCTCTGGGGGGTGTCAGGGATGGGCAGCAGGGGGGCACTGCCACCGTGACCCCACCACTTTGCCCTCCGGCAGGGAAGCATAGGAAAGCCTCACTTCTTGGGCAGCCAGGGCATGTTTGCTGCTGCCACAAACTTCCCCAGCAGTGGCTCAAACTTGGGTCCACGCAGACAATCGCTGCCACCCTCTCAGCAGCGTGAGAGCACTTGGCCAAAAGCCTTACGGACAGACAGACAGACAGACAGACACACAGACTAAGCCCTTTATATATACAGAATATACCCTCAACATCATACTGCTATCATAGTGCTATAGTGATATATAATCAATTCTGTACCCTCACATAGCATGCTGCTTTCAGTTCTTATCTTACCTAAGAAGTACTGGTAGAAACAGAAGAGAACCTGAGATGGGAACTAAAGATGATTAGAGGCAGAGAGACTCCCATGGGAAAAGTTAGGAGTGTCCCATGGGACTGAAAAAGTTAGGAGTGTCTAATTTAGAAAGGAGGGTTTTAAGAGGAGTTATGTCAAAAGTATATATTTTTTTGAATAACGAATGGTACAAAGCTAGTTAGCCAGGTGCTGCTATTTATCTTTTATCAGAATGAGGTGATTCACAAAGAAACTAAAAGGGCAAAAAAATTAAAGCCTTAAAAAGGAAGTGCTCTTATATACACTGGACAATTAACCTGTCAAAATCAGAGACACACAAAAAAAAATCACTGTGATAAAGGGCATAGTAGGACTTAGAAAAGAATAGGCATTTTATGGCCAAGAGGCCCTACTCATATTAAAAAGTCCATTTTTATAAGCTTTATAAACCTTCATGTCTTAAAACCCAAGCCAAGAACTAACTCTAAGGGGTGAGAAAGAACCCATTTGGAACATTTCATGCAAGTTATTATTCCATAATTATGCACTATGGATCCTTCTGCTTTTCTTTGAATTTCTCTTCTCATTGAGGGAAAGGGAAAGGAGAGATAAAGGTAATAACAAAAAAATTAAAAATGCAAGACATGTGGTTTATTTGTCCAAACAAACAAAGATGACACAAGACATATGTTATTTATGAAGCCTGATGGATTAGATAATTAAATAAGAAAATAGGGTCCTGCCATAGTGGAGAAAGAGACAGCATGAGAATACAAGATCAATGAAAACACATGTGTATTAATTACCAACTGGCAGTTTTCTAAGGTAGAGATTCCCAGCTACAACCATTATACAATGTTGGTTCAATGCCTAAGTACTTGTTGGAGCTAACAGAGTTGTAACCTTTAAATTGCAATCCTGCTCTGAAAAGTGTCTACTGAGTGAATGAACGTCCTTAGGGGTGTCTGCTAGGGCTGTGCGAAACACCATCGTTTCGTTTCAATGTCCATTTCGCCATTTCAAAAGGACAGTGTTTCGTTTTGTCGTTTCATTTCAAAGCACTGTCCTGTTTTGTTTCACTGAAACTGTTTCACCCATTGGCTATAATGAGGAATCATGAAAATGCCTAAAACGTTGTCATTTCTTGCCTGTTTCAGATGAAAATTGCAGGGATAGTAGCCCTTTCTGAGGACGTATGTACAGAGGTTTCTGGGAAATTGCCCCTCAAACTGTTCAAAGCAAAAGTCCTGACACTTCCTGGCAGCGGCAGCCTCCTCTCATCTGGTGTGCATATCTGGGGGCTCACACCCCTGGGAAGGCTGTGGGGCTGTGCTGGACTCCTCCTGGGGATGCAGGCCCCCGGATCTGTGCAGGCCAACCACGGATACAAGGAGGATGCCACTGCTACCTGGGAGCAGAACTGGGCACAGCCCGTGCCCAGCACCAGAAAAGATTGCTGCTGCCACCTGAGCCTCCTCTCAGCTGGCACATATCTGGGGGCTCGCACCCCCAGGAGGAGTCTGGCACAGCCTGGCAGCCCTCCTGGGGCTGCAAGCCCCTGGATCTGCGCCCCGGATGAGAGGAGGCTTAGGCTGCCTTTCCCACCAGGGACCAGCACTGGGCATCGGCTGCGCCCAGCACCAGACAAAATTGCTGCTGCCGCAGCCTGAGCCTCCTCTCATCCGGCGCAGATCCAGGGGCTCACATCCCCAGGAGGAGTCCAACACAGCCCAGCAGCCCTCCCAGGGGTGCGATTCCCCAGATCCGTGCACCAGATGAGAGGAGGCTCAGGCTGCCTCTCTTACCAGGGGGCGGTGCCTCCTCGCTCGCCCCCTGCTGCCCGGTTGCGGGCTCCTCGTTCACCCCCACCCCCGCACACTCCCTGCCCAACTGCAGCCCCCCCGCAGCTTACCAGCAACTGCATCCATGCTCTTGGTTTTGTGGCACAGCTCTTCTGCATGGTGGGGGCAGCGCGGTTCGGCCCCATCTGCCAGGTATCTGCGTGACCTCTGCCACAGAGCACTGCTGCAGCCCGGCTTGGCGCGGTGCAGCCATGTGCTTTTAAGCAGCTCCGAGCTGTCACCTGGGGCTGCAAGCTGCGAGCAGGGACCTCTGGCCACACCAGCCCGGGGCCTGCATGCACAGAAATAGCCCGGCTGGATGGTGCAGGGCATATGAGCGTAGGACCCTGGCTGGTATGGTCAGTGGTCCCTGCAAACAGTGCACAGCCCTGGGTGACAGCCTAGAGCTGCCTGAAAGCACACAGCCCCGCGCTGCACCGCACTGAGCCAGGCCACAGCAGTACTCTGTTGCAGAGGCCGCACAGATACCTGGCAGCTGGGGCCGAGCAGCACTGCCCCCTGGCTGTGGGCCAAGGCCAAGAGAGAGTCTGCTGTTGCTGGTAAGCTGCAGGGGGGGCCGCAGCTGGGTGGGGGGCTAGTAAGCGGGCCACAATCAGGCTGTGGGCCAAGGGGGGGTGGGGAGGCTGAAGTCAAGCAGGGTGGTAAGCAGGGGGCACTGGTCCCTGGTGGGAGGCAGCCTGAGCCTCCTCTCATCTGGGGTGCAAATCCGGGGGCTCGCACCCCCAGAAGGGGTGCCACACTGTGCCGGACTCCTCCTAGGGGTTCAAGCCCCTGGAACTGTGCGTCCCATGAGAGGAGGCTCAGGCTGTTGACTGGGACCGGTGCTGGGCACAGCCTGCACCCAGTGCCAGGAAAGAATGGTGTTGCCATCAGCTCCAAGCAGCAGTGGCAGCTCCACATCCAGCATGTAGATCTGGGGGCTCGCATCCCCAGGAGGAGTCCGGCACAGCCCCCCCAGCCCTCCCAGGGGTGTGGACCCCCCGATCTGCGTGCCGGATGAGAGGAGGCTGCCGCTGCCACTTGGGACCAGCGCTGAAGCCAAGTAAGCCTGGCTTCAAAACTCAAAACGTTTCTAAACTTTCCAAGTGCCCTTGTTTCGCTTCAAAGCTGTTTCGATGCCTTTTGTTTCATTTCGATTTCCCTGTTTCGAGCTTGAAACACGTCAAAACAGCTTTGAAACAAAACACCTGGTGAAATTTCACAGCGCGCTAGTGTCTGCACATTTATTATATCTGAAAAATTCTAGATAAAAAATGTTCTGTTCATAAAAAACAGGATAGTTTCTTACTTATGGCCCTACCAATTCACCCCATGGTTCAGAAGTCAATCTAGATGCATTATGTACAGCCTAATCCAGACCCAACCTGAGATACTATATAGATTTATAGCATCTTAAAGATGCCCTCCATATATCTCCGATACATTTTATCCATGATTTCTCAGTTCCTCCATCTTGAAGATCTCCCTTAGAAAACTCATTTGTGTCTGTGATAAATTATGTACAGGTGGAGTGCACTGGGAAGAGATTTACCAAAAAAAGACAACCACACCAGCTCAATCCAATGAATATTTACATGAAATCTGGGGAAATTTGATCTAAAGCATTTGACAGAACATAGCAAGAGCTTGTTATGGTCACTTCTCTGAGCAAATACAGGAGAAATTTTCTGAAAGTCAGGAAAATTGACGAACTACCAGATCCACGCTTTGTTTCTCCATCACATTTGCACTAAAATGGACAAATCTGTTTCACCGTAATATTCTGGACCTATTATAGAGATCAATGAAAAAACATTTTGCAAGAGGTAGCTCTTTCCGACTACATGCAAAAGAAGGTGGACATGCTACTTACCAAACTGGCCATCATGCTTTATGTACAGTTCAATGATACCATATGCAATAGCGGTAGGGGCAGGAATCTCTAAGACCACATTAGAATCCTTCATCATGTTTCCGTTTTCACTCACTGAAACCTGAGGGACATATTCTCCCACTGTTTATTCAACTCAACTATAAAACAACTTGTGCACAAAAGATAACTCGGGAGGGGGGGGGGGGGGGGGGAAAAATTAGTTTAGAGAAAAAAAAATTGTAATTTCCCACCATGTTCACGTAGAGTACATTTATTTGACTTAAGCCACTGAACAACTGCAGTGAAGCTCAGGCTTAACAGCAGAGTGGAGGGTGAGAAATGATAGTAGTCCCCCTGATTCTCAAGCACCCAGTTTAATATAAGCTCCAGCAAATTAAAATCTTCAGTTAAAGCCTCTTTGACTTATACTGCTGATGTAAAGTCCCGCAGAAACATGACTGCAGTGAAAAAACTGGTCTTCACCACAATGTTCCTTTGCTTTGTCCTCTCCTCCTACCAAATCTCCTGCTCATCTTGCCCCTGTTTTTACAATGGGCAGCACAGAATCTGGTGGAACAGGATAATGAAAATGGCAGAAGCTATAGAACTGTCATTGCCAGTTTTATGTCAGTGAAGACTCCCCTATATACAACAAGAGGCATTTGTTGTACATACTTTATATTTTCATTTTGCTTATTTCTTCTCAGTTTATTAGACTAGTATATCAGGAGATTTTTTAACAACCCCCTGTGAAGCCACTGGGATTATTAGACTCAGTGGAGCTTGGTGGATACTAAAACATTTTCTGTGAACAGTCACTTGACTTTTTAAATTAATTGGTTTCAGCCACTCTCATGGGCCTTTAACATTCACTTTCTTTTAACAAGTGTAAGCTTTCTTACTGGCAGGAAAACTCACAGAAACTGAACCACATGATAGTATTCATGGAAACCAGATTCTAGGTTCATAAAAGAGCTTGCACTTTCAACCAGTTAGGAAACAAACAAACAAAAAAATAGCACGGCATGCTTCTTTTCTGATCAATTACAATTAAGTAACATGAGGAATATATGCTGAGAAACATCAGTAACTGCTAGAGTTTAAAATGTTACCAAAAATGCCAAATACTTTAAAATAAAGAATGTAGTTGAAGAAACTGCGATCTGTGGTACTTGGATAAATGGTCTATGGGTTACATAATTTCCTTTTACCTTCACAACTTTTGTGCTGAATCCTGCTATGCCACCAATTTTCTCTTCTGTCTGAATATGTTCAGTTATCAAGCACTTTTTAGTTGTTACTATCTTCTCTGTCAGGATACATAGTACCTCATGTTTTCTTTCCAGCACTTGTTTCAGTAAAGTATTGTTTAGGTTCATTGTTCTGAAATTAAAAAATATAGCATTAACAGTATAAACACAAGAGTTGGGAAAACACATTTTTCTTAATTGTATGCACAAAGCAATCTTTGTAAGAAGCTTTTATTGTAAAGTATTAGTGGTTTCTGTATGAATATCTTACTCAAAATTATTATGTACTCTTTTGTTATCTGGCAGCAGCAAGACTGTAATTATCTGTATTATACAGTTTAAGTCTCAACATACCCATTGAATTCTTGGTTCATCATTTCAGGAGAAATGTCAGTTGAGGCAACTGCTTGGTTATTGTTTGCTTCAATAAAAGACAAGGAACTTCCAGCAAATTTAAGTTTCCTGTGTAATTTGAAAATAAATGAGCTAGTCCTGCAGATTTGGGCAAACCCCTCAGCTACTGTAAACTGACAACAGCAGAGCTATAGTAAGTGATGCCAGCTGCCCCATTAACTTAAAAGTCTGGTGGGGACTAATCTAAATAGTTATCATTGAAGTCCTTCCATCACATAGAGCCATCCTTATTCAGGGATCTGCTAGAGAGGGCGCATAAAAATAATTAATTGCGACTCTCAGGAGAGACACACCTATAGCGAGACATGTATGTCCTAGTCTAGTCCTATTCAATTACTTCATATGACACACACACATGCATGTTAAATTATTAAGGTAAAAAAGTCAAATGCTCACACATTAGGAAATAACCAAATTGTCAGATTTGTGTCCCTTCACCCTGTCCCCAATTCTTCCTCATACAGGTTCCTAGTCCCAGTCTCCTTATCCAGTTGGACAGAGTCTCTTCCCTCATTCAATCTCAGCAAGACACCAAATCAGTTCCCAGTCTCCCCCCACTCTGGTCCCCATTCTTCCCTCTGGCTCCCAGCCCCTTTCTTCTCACCCATCTGTTCCTGTCGTACCATGCATCAGCGCTAGCCTCCCATGGCATTCAAGTACATATCTCCTCCCCATCTCAAATCCTGAGTCTCAGACTTCTCTCCCTTCTTACTCCCAGTCTCCTTGACCAACCAATCCCAGTTTCTCTACTTGCCTCCACTCCTGCCCCATGAGTTTCCTTGTCCCAACAGACCCTTTACCCTTCCTTCATCAGGTTTTTGTCCCCTCTGCCTTGAAGCAGACAGTTTCCTCCTCTGGTCTGCCTGGGTGCCCATGCAGCCCCACAAGTGAAGTACAGGTTTCCCTTGTTTTATGCAGGTTCTGTATGTGTGAATTCTCTCTTATGAGATGACCCTTTTTATATCAAAAATTTATTATATGCGAGGTAAATTAACTCTTATATAATTGGTGTGGCGGAAACTCGCAGTCAGAGCTGCTTTGTGCGGGGCATTGTGGGAGTGATGAGCACTAAAATATAGTCTCCTGTGTGGATCTGTGTTCCTTGCTCGTTGTCTGACATGTTTCTGTAGTTGCCATCCTCATTATGGTAGTGTCCTGTGCTTGTGTGTACTGTCTGCTGTTGGCGAGTGCCAAAACTGTCTTGAAAAAGTGGTAGAAGTGGGCCTGGGGGTCAGTACAGTTGAGGTCTTGGAACATATCCCTATTTGTTACATTGTGAAGTGGGTTCCCTTTACACGAGGTTGAGTCATGCACCGTTTTCCAGGAACACGTGTACAGCATAAAGCGAGGGAAACCTGTATACAGATTTGTTCTGTAGAAAAAGTGCACACCTGTCCGTTCAGGTCAGCACTAGTTGCTGTACGAGACTCCAGCATGCTTAGGGAGGATGGACGGTTCAGAGATGTTTAGCTATTAAATTCTATTGAACACATAGATAGGATTATCTTTGAGGACTGAAAATGAAGGAGTTTCAAAACAAAGCAAAAAAGGCACAACCCTGACAACGCTTTCCCTTCTACAAGCACTTTCCCTCCTGCCTCTCCCCTATCAACGTATTAACCTGCTGCTCCAAGGCAGGGAGGTGCTAACCTTTCTTCTCAAAGAAAAGTTGGCCACAATTTAGAATGGAAAAAATAACAGGGCAGTGGAAAAATAAGTTATCAGAAACAGCTGAAATATTTCAGCTGATTAAAAAAAAGGAAATAATTAGCCAGGAGCAGATAGCATGATGGTTGGGCAACCTTAGTAGTAGACCCTCATTTACTGGCTTCAAAACATCTACATTTGAAACTGGTTAATTATGAATCTTAGTATCTGGTCTAAAAAGTACATTGGGTTTATAATTGACCAACTACTTCAGGTGGCAATGTGGATAAGGATGTTAAGGACAGAAGGGATTATTATGATTATCTAGTCCAAGGGTGGGTAGTCTGGAGTGCAAGTGCTACAAGTGGCACCAGCAGCCTATGTGTGGGTGGCACGCAGCAATCAGGAATGGATCAGGCAACACAGCGGCAGCTATGTCAGAAAGCACAAAGCAGAGTAGGAGATCAGGCAGGGAACATAGGGCAGGAAGCAGAAAGCATAGGAGATTGGACAGAGTAGGGAGCAGAAAGCAGAGAAACAGACTGGGCAGAAGAATGGGATCAGAGTGGCACTCAGGGATGGTGCAGAGCTAATTTGTGGCATGCCTGCCAAAAAGGTTGGCCCCCACTAGTCCAGCCTGACCTTGTACATAATGCATACAGATTATAAAATGTCACCCAGTAATTCTGTACCAAATCCAGAACTTCTGTTTGAGTTTCAGTGCAACATTTAGAAAGAGATATCCACCCTGACTTAAAGAACATTCCTGAAATTGAGTTTCTAGGATTAATCACCCTTTATTAAAAACCTGTGCCTTATCCATGTTTGAATTTCTCTAGCTTGAAGGCCCTGTATGATTTAAGACTAACCCTGATTTTATTCCCTATGTTGGCTCCAGTGAGTCTGCAAAGATGGAACATTTTCAAAATCAATTAGTAGAATTGTCATATTCACAAACCAGCTAAGTGCCCCTCTTCCCAGTTCTGTCCCCACCAATATTAACATTGTTTAACATTTTAATGTGCATTTCATTTAGCATATCATCCCTATTAAGCAAAGCATTTAGTCCTTTGTTTAAATCCCATTAAAGTCATTTCTAAATACAGGTTGCAGGGTTGGCCCTGGGAATTTCAGGAGACAGAATCTTTCTAAGAATAGATTATAAAATTTACTAGCACATCTTCTGGGGTCAGCAACAGTCCTGTCAGTGGAACTTGTTAACTTTATTCCATGGACTAAAATTTATATCAGAATTTTTTCCAAATCTCCACCTGAGATTCACAGAAGTGTCAAAACTTCTATTAAAAGACAACTCAAGCAAGACAGCTAGGAGATTGAAAGATTGCTTCCTTCACTGGAGTTATTTAATCTTTTCTTTTCCAGTCTGCTGGAAATAGGATATCCATAATGGTTAAACTGTAATTCCCAAATACAAAATAAATAACATGTTATTTAAATCAAGGTTCTCTACTTTTTTAATTGAAATAAGTTTTAGGTGTTCCAGTTTCTAGATTTTAGAAGTTTTATAGACTGCACAACGTTGGAAGCCAGCTTGGAGCTTTATTAAATTAAAAAAATATCTTCAGTCAATTTTATTCTTCGTTGAATTATAACTTCTAAATATTTCTATGAAAGCTCAGTCATTCAAAATGAACTGTCTGAAGGCCTTAAAATGGATTGTTTAGACAAGAAAAAAATAACTCAACCAAAGCAATGTATCAGTCACCACTACACTGCACCCAAATGTTCTTGTGATTCCTATGTTCTTTTCAGCCACATTTTTTATTTGGAAGGTAAATGATTTCCAAGGTAAACAAAAATCAGAGAACTTCCAGTTCATCACAAACCCTAAAGGTCTTAGAAATTCCTGCAGCTATGCAAAACTAGGGTTATTAAGTAGCATGGTATCTCTAAAAGACATTAAGCTTTTTCCATTTCATATACTGTATAATTAATTTTTTGCAGTAATTTTGCAGTGTGGTAAGCATCTTGAAGATACAGAGCAAGACAGGCCCCTGCCTCAAAGACTGTGCTACATTAACAGACAACATAAGGAACCAGAGGGGAGGGAAACACCAGAATCAATTTTCCCTTGCTCTTATATTGAGCTAACCTATGTGTTGCCTGGTATAAACTGACAGGACAACCCTAATTGCCATAGGAAAAGGAAAACAAAACAAAAAATGTATGCAAATATGAAACAGTATGAAGTCGAGAAGTAATTCATAACCCTATTTCATCTGATAAAATTAATGGACTCAAAAAGTCCAAAATTCAATTTCATCTGCCTCCACTGAGCTGCTACTTCTGCAAGAGATGTCTTTGATTCAGATACTGTCGTTCTTTTACCAGTCATAGCTATAAACATCCATTCCCTTTTGATTGCCATTCTATCTTACAATGCTTCCAATAGGCTTGACTCTCCTTCTATCTCTTCCTGGTATTTTCTTTCTGTCTTGCATGAATGCTGACATTGAGTCATTTAAGTCCCCTCTACACATTACATTTATGCCATGATTTGTGTGTTAATTGCAGCATAACTAGGAAGGGTGCTACACATACACCTTATTTAAGGCACCGCAAAATGGGGAATAAGCAATGAAAATGTTCCACAAAGAACGTGGAACATTTTCATGGCTCATCTGTATGTCGCCTTAAATTTAATGTGTTGCTGGTGGCTGACAATCACCTTTACTGTCACCTGACAATCATACAGTATATTTTCAAATGACTATGATAAAAATATGCAAGGCCCTGATCCAGCATGTGCCTGGGTAAATTGCTGAAGTCACTGGGGTTGGTGTTCTGTCCATATAGGTCATAATGTACAACTGTGTTCCTAGAGAACACTGTGATCTTTGGGTGAAAGAAACAAAAAAGCTAAGTCAAGTACTAAGTAGCCATCAGATAAGGTAAATGAACAGCCAGTTTATCTCAATCATCTTCAGAAACAGTCTTCAAGGACACAACATAACAGGGCAAAGGTTTGGTAATTAAACCTGGGTTTAACATATTGAGAGGCAGTGATCATAACATAGTTAAGCATTGCAGTGTGCCTTTGTAATGGTCCAT